TGATCATCTAAGTTGAGCCCATATCCTAACTAGTGTGAATAGAGTAGCTGCACCAGTTTACACTCCCACCAAAAGAGGAGAAAAGTTCTTTCATAACGCTAGAAAGTGCTGTGCAAGAAGCCTGGGGAGAAAAAACATCAATTTATCCAGTCTTGAACCCTGTATGCTACAATACCAACCCACCAGGTAAGATGTGCCCATCGGTACACATCTGTGGCAAGATTACTCTCTTGATTGAATGAAAGGCCTGTTCCACAGGAGGGAGTTCATACCTGGTACTGTGACCATGGCCAAAACACACAGCTAGGAAAGCCATAGAAACTAAAGGAGAAGAGAGTAAAGAGATGGCTCAGTGGTTAAGAGGACTGAGCAATGTTCCAAAGGACCTGGGTTCAATTCCCAGGCTGTCCAGTGTCCAATCATGCCAGGGTTAAAAAAAAAAGAAGAGAAACTAAAGGAAAACCTATTGATGTTGTTTTCCTAAATGGTCATGTTGTCAAAATGTCTTCTAAATATTAATGTTTATGTCCATGGATCTGTGCTGTTCCCAAGCCTGGCCGGAGAAGCTTTGTACTGCAGCGGGGAGTGGTTAAAGCACACACTGTTGTCAGAATGCTGCGCTGCAAAGGAGACAGTCTATCAACTCCCCCTCCACAGCTCAGGGACATTGTGAAAGAGGGGAGAGAAACAATGTAAGAACTGGAGGGTGGGAGGGGTGCCCTCGTGACACAGCTATTGCACACATAGTTCACAACAGCTGTGGTTACTTACAAAACAGTTGAAAAGATCAGGCAGTTAAAAGTTCCAGCAAGGTTTGGGGAGACCCCATCCCCAAATGAAGAGCTATTAGCAGTTTCTAGCTTCAGGGGAAGGAAGACTCATTTTTCTTTAGGTCACTGGTAGGTTCCCCATGCCCCAGTGGATGAGTCTACACCCATTTATGTATGGCAACATTAACTGGACTCAGTGGATTAAAAAATAAATAGAGCCAGGTGGTGGTGGTGGTGGTGGTTTTGGTGGTGGTGGCGGCGGCGGTGGCGGCGGCGGCGGTGGCGGCGGCGGCGGCGGCACAGGCCTTTGATCCCAGCACTTGGAAGGCAGAGCCAGGCAGATCTCTGTGAGTTTGAGACCAGCCTGGGCTACAGAGCAAGTTCCAGGACAGGCACCTAACTACACACACAAAAAAAAACCCTGTCTCAAATAAATAAATAAATAAATAGGTAAGTGGACGCCTTTAATCCCATTACTTGGGAGGCAGAGGCAGGCAGATCTCTCTAAATTTGAGGCCAGCCTGGTCTACATACTGAGTTCCAGGACAGCCAGGGTTTTGTAGATAGACCCTGTCTCAGAAGAAGAAAAAAAGACAAATAAATAAACAAGTGTAAAAGGACACGAAGTTGGAAGGGATATGAGAATCTTAAGGAGAACTGGAAGTGTTGGGGAGAGGGTATAAGCAAAGTATACTGTATATATGTATGAAATTTTCAAAGAATAAATAAATAAATTTTTAAAAAGAACAATAAACCTTTGAGCTGAGCACACACCTATAATTCTAGGATTTAAGAGCTGAGCCAGGAGGACCACCCTTCCAAGGCCAGCCCAGAGTACATTACAGAGAGGATGACCCTGTCTCAAAAAGAACAAAATCCACTGTTCTCAAGTCGCACTAGCCACAATCAATGTGTTGGATAGCCACATATGTCTGGTGGCTACTGTACTGGACGGCACAAATATAAGACATCTATACTGTGAAAGCTCTATGGGATAATCCTGGTCTAAAATCTCCTTTGGCTACTACCCAAGCCTGTTGTTACCACTCAAAAATGTAAAGGGGTGGGCATGGCAACACATGTCTGCAATCTGAGCGCTCTGAAGGCTGGGGCAGGAGGGACTAAAGCCGGATGCTCAGGAGTATGAGCATGGGATAGAAAACTCTAGGTGAGCCAGGCTATACAGCAAGACTTGGTCTTTAAAAAAAAAAAAAGCAGGAGGTTTTAAAATCATAGAACCAGTAAAAGAAAAACAGGTAGAGGTAGCACTGTGAAATATTATGAGAAATATGTACGAAAAGAAATTTAATTAAAAAAAATCTTTTTAAAAGCCAGAGCTGGGGCTGGAGAGATGGCTCAGAGGTTAAGAGCACTGACTGCTCTTCCAGAAGTCCTGAGTTCAATTCCCAGCAACCACATGGTGGCTCACAACCATCTGTAATGAGATCTGGTGCCCTCTTCTGGCCTGCAGTCATACATGCTGTATACATAATAAATAAATAAATATTAAAAAAAAAAAAAAGCCAGAGCTGGGTGTGGTGGCACACACCCTTAGTTCCAGCCTTGGGAGACAGAAGCAAGCAGATCTCTGTGAGTCTGAGGCTAGCCTGATCTACAAAGCAAGTTCAAGAACAGGACAGCCAGGGTTACATAGAGAAACCCTGTCTCAAAAAGACAAAAGAAAAAAAATTGGAAGAGAATATAAAGCCAGGCATGATGGCAAATGCCTGAAATTCCAGCATTTGAGAAGTAGAAGCAGAAGGTTCAGGATCCTCCCCACTCCACCAGCCCCCCTACAAAAAAAGGAAGGAAGGAAATGGGGGGAAGGATGAAAGAAGGAGGGAGAGAAGAGGGAAGGGACTAGGAATGTAGCTCAGTAGGTAGAGCACTTGATCAGCATGTATAAGTCCTTTGTTCGATCCCCAGCACCAAATAAAACCAGGCATGGTGATGAACAATTCTAATCCAGAGATGGAGGCAGGAAGAGCCAAAGTTCAAGGTCATCCTCAGCTATATAATGAGCTGGGAGGCCAGCCTGGGATACGTAAGACACTATCAAAAAGGAAAAAAAAAGGGGGGGGGGAGATAGAAAAATTTAAATACATAAACCAATGAAAACTAAAGATTGCTCCCTCCTGCCATTCTTCCAACTCTTCCTCTCAGATAAGTAAAGAAATAAAAGAGACAACAGAAGACTGAGTCAGCAGGAAAAGGAATGTCATCAGCCACAGTGACCTTTCCCTAGATACCTCACTTTGCTCACAGCTCAGCCTACCTGCCCAGCCAATGAGTTCAGGGGCTGAAATTAGCTGTGAAGGATTTGATGGGGAAAAAAAAAAAAAGCCGAAGAGAACAGCACACAACACACTGCCCTACCCCCACCCTGCTGCTGCAACCTTTCTCTCTTTGCTTGTTTCCACTGACAACCTTCCTATGGACCCACGCCTCACTCCTAGCTCACCCTGGTCATCTCTGCTTACCCCCTTCTCTTCCAACCCAGAGCTTCTACCTACAGATTCCACCCTCTCTGCCTAAGAACTAGATGGAGATCAGACACAACCTCATAAAATACTGAGATTCGCTGGGGCACACTTTTAATCCCAGCAATCGAGAGGCAGAGGCAGGCTGATCTCTGTGAGTTCAAGGCCAGCCTGGTCTACAGAGTAAGATCCAGGACAGGCACCAAAGCTACACAAAGAAACCCTGTCTCAAAAAAACAAAAAATAAAAAATATTGAGATTCTTCATCAGGGCATTGCTGATCCAGTTCCCACCCCAAAGGTTCCCCTTTCCTCTCTCCTAACCTCTAAGGTCTCTGTCCTCACCACTAATGTAAGGCTGACATTCCCATTGCCCTTTTATGCTGGGTCCAATTTGTAATGCTTCCACAAGCAGGTATTTCCACAACAACCTTATGAAGTGGCCACTATCAACACTGTACAGAGAGGTGAAAGTAGTTCCTTGCCCAAGGCTGCACAACCAGAAAGAGGCAGAGCAGAAAAGTGAAATCGTATGGTCCAGCTCCAGAACCCAACCACTTAACCACATCTGTTTTCGCTGGCATTTTACTTCAAAACCCTCTAACCAGGCACTACCAACAAGATCTTTCTTTTTTTAAGAGATGGTCTCACTATGTAGCTCTGGCTAACCTGGAACTCACAGAGATCCACCTGCCTCTGCCTCCTAAATACTGGGATCATAAGTTTGCATCACCACCCCAGGCCCTCACTTGCTTTTTTTCAATCTTTTTGGTTTTTTAACAGGGTCTCATGTAGCTCAGGCTGACCTCCTGCCTCTACCTCCCAAGTGCTGGGATTTGTCATGTGTCAGTCACTATATCCAGAGCACACAGGGATAGTAGCCCAATTCTGGATATAGCACATGCTAAGCAAGCACTCTGTCACAAAGCTACATAGCCAGACCTCATCATCAGTTTTGAAAGTGTTATCCTGCACCCAGCAACAATAGATCGAAAGGGACTCTTGAGTTTTCTCAAGTGTTTTCAAGAAAAGTGAGCAGCCAGGTGCGGTGGCTCACAACTGTGATCCCAGTAATTGAGAGACCTGAGACAGGACTGTCTGTAATTCGATGCCAGTCTGAGTTACAGGCCATCTTGTCTCAAAAAAAAAAAATAGCGCGGGGGGGG